CACTGCCACTACCAGTAGTCTTATTACTACTACAACTGCTCTTACTACTACTACGACTACGACCACTACTACTACTACTACTACTACTACTACTACTACTAAACTACTACTACGACTACTACTACTACTACTACTACTACTATTACTACTACTACTACTACTACTACATCTACTACTACTACTACTACTACTACTACTACTACTACTACTACTACTACTACTACTATCGCTACTACTACTACTACTACTACTACTACTACTACTACTACTACTACTACTACTACTACTACTACTACTACTACTACTACTACTACTACTACTACTACTACTACTACTACTACTACTACTACTACTACTACTACTACTACTACTACTACACTACTACTACTACTACTACTACTACTACTACTACTACTACTACTACTAATACTACTAATACTACTACTCATTCTTCTTCCTCTACTGCTACGACTTCTACCACGATTACGACTACCATGACTACCAAATTTCAGTAGTCCCTGGTGCGCATTATCAGAGGTGAAGGATTATTGCCTGTATGCCTCTTGTTCTTGTTGTAGGTTCGAGATTGCTCGCACGGGGCGAGATGATCCCCGCGCCTGCGTGTTCCTCCGACTTCCTTCTTCCCTCCACACTCCCATGCCTTCCTCCGCTGCACGGCAAGGACACGCCGAACTTCGCTCAGTACGACGACGCCCCGCCCCCCGGCGGGCAGGAAACGGCGGCGTCCCACACGGTGGCGGAGCTCCAGGACGGGTGCCCCGCGCCGCGACGCGGCCTCCGGGACTCTGTGTCTCCTCGCCGCCCAGGGTGCTGTTCGGTGGTCCTCTCCCGTCGGCTATACGTAAAAGTGGCCCTTCGGCGGGGTGACTTCCGGTGCGAGCTCACAGGACGCCCCCCCACAGCGCTAGCCTGCGCGCTTGGATTTGGCCCTCCCGCGGCCCCCGCAAGCCGCGCACCCAAGGCCGCTCTTGCCTGGGGTCACTCTTGCGCACAGTCGATCCATCCTCGGTGCCCCCTCGCGCCATCTCCTGCCCCCCCCCCCTCGCCCCCCCTGCCCCCCCCAACGCATGCGGGCGAAGTGGGCACTTGTGGCGTCGAAAACCAGATAACGGGGCATTTCAAAAGCGCATTTGTGATGTCCAGATCCAGGGTATCAGTACAGGCCAAGACGCCTGAAAGCTTGTGGGAAGCGCTTGCAAAAACGCTCGAAAGGATATGTGGGTAGCTTGCAAGCTCTATGCAGGAGTTCCGCAGGAACTAAGACAGCATTGCAGGGGAGTTGTGGAAAGGCTTCCGACAAACGTATTGGGAAACAAATAGGAAAACGCCTCCGGAACGCTCTGGAAGCCAACAGGTGCGCTGCGAGGTTCCCTGCTTGGCGCCAGAAGAGCTCCGGGGCTACCTTATGCTGCCGTCTTCAAACCTAGAGCCTCTAGTTCTCCTCGAGCTATTTGAATGGGGTAAAAGGGACCTGCATGGGGGGGGGACCCAGGCGCCCGAGAATGGGGCCACGCACGGCGCCCGAATGTGGGAGGCGCTCGGGGCGGCGCTCGGCGCCCGACGGCTTTGGAGGCGCGCGGCACCCGAGCGGAGCACGGAAGCCCCAAGACACCCTCAAGACATATCAAGAAACCCCTAAGAAACGAGAGGTGCATCAATGAGGGGTCTAGTGGGTAAGCACAGCAGCAGGTGCCAGCGCGTTCGCCTATAGCCGCCTTCGGCCCCAGCGGCGCAAGCGGGCATTTTTAAGCCCCACGTTACCCGCCCGAGAGTTCCAGCCCGGGGCTGGTTCTGGTCCCCCTGGGTTCCCCAGGCCTCTTGGGGGGGCCCAGCTGCTACGCTGCTACGCCTGCTTGAATAGGTTGATGACGTCCTGGGGCTAGTGACATGCAGTGCGTGTTCGGGTTTCCGACCGCCCAAGACGGCCCAAAAAGCCTCCAAGAGTGCTCCAAGATAGCTCCAAAGCAGCCCAAGAGACACCCCAAATAATGACACGAAGGTGGGAGGCGCGCGACGGCGCTTGCGGTGCTGTGGGTCAGATCTTGTGCCGTTGCCCCTTGCGCACTCAGTCGAAGTACAAGACAGCGGCATAAGCACAAGCTTTCGACGATCCGTGCGGATTTTCCAAATCTGCGTTGGGCCCCCCCTGGCGGCGCTTCTAGCGCCGCCCCTGGCGCGCTTCGCTCGCCAGGGACAGGTGCCTGGCGCAGATCGAAGAAATCCGCGCGGTGCTCCAAAGGTTTATGCTTACGCAGCTTTTCCTCTCTCTACTCAACGCGCCCCCTTTCCACACCCACCCAGTTGAAGCAACGCTCGTGGACATGTCGCGGGAGTTCCCCGGCCATTGTGTTGATGCTGAGCTACGCTGTCAATGCCCCGCTGCCCCTGGGGCTTTCCTGTGTCCTTCTTCGCTAGAGCATCCGACACGTGCGCGGAGCTACACTGTCGATGCCACGATTTCCTGTGGCTTTGACGTGATCCTGCTTTGAACGCGAAGTGCGTGAGGCGGCGGAGAGCTTGAGAGATCCGTCCAACAAATGGGTCACTCGAAGCCTTGCCTTGATTCGTAGACTCTGGCGACCGCTTAGATTGCAACCGTGGTTATCCACACGTGGTGTGACTTGTATTTGCCCGAATAGCTCAACACACGTCTATGGTGTCTGTGGGTCTGTGTAGCTGTGTCGCCAGTGTGTTATAACCGCCCGCGTCTATGCCCCTCGTATCTTGCCTGTTGTGCGCTCAGTCGGAGGCAATGTGAACACATCGCGTTGGCCCCATGCCCGCCTCCTCCTCGAAAAGAAGGGTCCAGTGCCTCGCCTCGTCTGAGAGGTGCCTGTCGTTCCAGCAACGCACCATGTACCAGACCCTCTGCCACGCGGATCGCCGCACTGGAAGGTTCTTCGCCGGTCTCGGCCTCTGGGGGTCCATTCCGGGCCCTGCGGCCTCAAGACGAGGGCCCGGGGGGGAAAAAGGCTGGCCATGGGAAGATCGTCGGGAGCGCAGGGGGCCGTCGACTCGAAGGATTCTAGTCGCCAGGGGTCTGGGGAGGAGGAGGAGGAGGAGGAGGAGGAGGAGGAGGAGGAGGAGGATAACGAAGTAGGGAAAGGGGTAAGTAGGAACCAGCAGGTTGAGGAGCACGAGGAGGGAGAAGAGAGGTGAGAAGGACAAGCCAGATGCGTTCGCGCCATATCTGACATCCTACCCCTTCCACCCATCACACACCCCTTCCCACCGCGTGTTTCCATACCCGTGGACACGTGTCCTTGCGGACTGAGAACTCAAACAAGATAGCATCGTGCTATGCGCCGGAGGAAAAGCAGGAGGAGAAGAAGTAGCGGGGGCGAGAACGAACAGCGGCAGCAGGATCTGAAGTGGAAGAAGCGGGAGGAGCAGGAATATCGGGGGAAGTCAGAGGAGGGGAAACGAGGGGGGCGAGTCTGATGAGGAAGGATTCGGATCCAGAACAGTGGCCCGCGCTGGGGCGAGGGCGCCATCCTGAACGCCGGGAACACAGCCCCGATCCTAACATGAGGCCCACGCTGCAGAGGAAACGATTTTGGAAGGACCGAGAACGTTCAGATTGGGAAAGCACATGCGGCACACCAAGTCGGACCCATCAGATGTTTAGAAAACATTGCGAGAGGGGGCGCGCGACTCACAGGACGTCTACGGGATAGAGTGGTCGCCATTTTGAGTAGTTGTAGAGGTGGATGGGGGAGGAAGGAAAGAATAGGGGGGTAGAGGGGGAGGGGGGAGGAAGGAAAGAATAGGGGGGTAGAGGGGGAGGGGGGAGGAAGGAAAGAATAGGCGGGAAGAAGGGGGGACGGGAGAGGGAGGAGAAAGATGGGGGAGTTGAAAGCTGGAGGAGGGTGGGGAGGAGGAAGAAGGGAAGACGGAGGAGGAGGAGGAGGAGGAGGAGGAGGAGGAGGAGGCTCAGGGGGAATGCGGAGAGAAGGCCGCTGTACCTGAAGCTGGGCGCTCACGCCCGCGCTGTGTCTATTGCTCACGACGCCCGGATGTGAGGGCCACCCACTTCATCATCGGAGCGACGCTGAACAACGGATCTCGATTGCGCCAGCATTAGCGCGTAAGCTTCCTACGTAAGGCCGCGCGTAAGCGCTAAGCGCCCTCTTCTCCACGCGGTGTGCCACGCTGGCGGCCCGCGCAACCGTGGCGTACGGGCGTCATGCCATCTCGTCAGACCCTTCCTTGTCGTCTCTCACCTGGTACAGACAGCCCGCGCAGTAATGATTGGCAACCTTCCCAAGGGTACCCTGGCATCTTTGCCTCCTCGGTCCATCCCTGGCCACTTTCGTTGGCCGCGCCCTGCTCGAAAAGATGCGACACGGGCGTCCAAGACTCTTGCATCCTTATCGCGCAGCCTCGTGATACGGGCCGACCGTATGCACCGATCTCGCCACGGATCCTGACCCCCCCGATGCCCGCAAAGGGCCCCAGGATGCTCCCGGAGTCGAGGACAGGGGGCCCCAGAGGTGCCCCAGCGAGAAACAGCACACAAGGCCACGACAGATTCTCCCAGCCTTACACGAGAAATGGGAGGAGGAGGAGGAGGAGGAGGAGGAGGAGGAGGAGAAGGAGGAGGAGGAGGAGGATGGGGAGGAGGAGGAGGAGGAGGAGGAGGAGGAGGAGGAGGAGGAGGAGGCGCAAGGAGGATGAGTTGCGCCACCAGCAGCAACGCGCAGCCCGATTGTCCTCGGCCGCCTGAGCCTACAGTCCTCGACTGTCTGAGCCGACGCTCGGCACCCCCGCCGTCTCTCCAAGACGTTGTCGCCCACCCCGCAGGCTCCACCTCAACCCGTCCCCTCCGATCAGATGTCTATCTCGGCCCGCCCGAGCCGATTCGATTCCGATGTGCCGGCGGTCCGATGCGGCCCGATGCTTGTTCACGGCGCTGTGGCGCGGCCCGGGGCGGCCGATACCATCCGAGTCCGACTGCGTGCCGATGCGCGGTAGATCCGATGCCTGTTCCGACTCGTTCCGGTTTCCCGATCCGCTGCCGCGCGCTTTTGCTCCGTCGTCGGCCACCCCGTCGGCGGACCCTCCTCTTGCTCCTCCTCCTCCTCCTCCTCCTGCTCCCTCTCCTCCTCCTCCTCATCCTCCTCCCCCTCCTCGTCCTCCTCCTCATCCGCCTCCTCCCCGAAGCCAGGATAGGATCCCGCGATGGGCTAAGCCACACGTCTGTACTCACGTTTCTTGGCATGCAGCCCCCCTCGTCGAGTAAAAAACAGTACCTCCTCCTCCTCCTCATCCTCATCCTCCTCCTCCTCCTCCTCCTCCTCCTCCTCCTCCTCCCTCCTCCCTCCTGCCTCCTTCCGTTCTCCTCCCTCGTCCTGCTTCCTCCTGTCAGGTCAGGGGGTGTCGGTGCCCGACTTGGTGTGCGGCGCGGCCCCTCGGGCATGGCGAATGCATCCTCGGTGCCTGACTTGACGTGTTTCATCCTCTCCCCTCCTCTCTTTCCTCCCTTCTCGACCTTCTCCCTCCAACTCTTATCCCCCCCCGTCGCGTCCTCATCCCTCCCTCCCCCCCAGACCCCCGACGTCGTGAGTTGTTCACAACGTCGACCCCCAGAGGTCTGGACCCTTGCCCATGGACCGGCTTGTCGCCCCGAGTCCTTTTCTGACAATACACTGGGTGCCTGTGCCAAAAAACACTCTGCTTGCCTTCAGGGTGCCCTGGGTTTATTGGGTTTCGATGGTTTTGCGATGGAAAGCGTGACGTTCCTAGACCGAAAATCAATGGACGCCCTGGGGTCTCAGGGTCGGGTTTCTCATGGAGGGTCTCTTGTGGACTGGCCTCCACTGTACCTGGGCCCAGTAGGGGGCCCCCGCAGGCTGAAACATAGAGGCTGAAACATAGAGCAGCCTCCCGTCGTGATTGTTGTCGCAGCGCGAGGTGGTCTGGGTCCTCCGCCCTCCCCGCCCACTCCCAGCAAGGCCCGCGACCCCGGCGCCAAGATCGCGGACGCGCCCGAGGCGGCGGCGGCCGCCGAGGTCGCCCCGCAGGAGCGGCGGCGGGGCCGCCGCGCGGGGCAGGCCGGATGCAGCAGCACGGGGTGTGGGGGCG